TCTGCCTTACCTCTCCACCACCCCTGCAAAACCTATAGCGTCTTCCTGGAAATTCAGCCTGTTTTTCCAGAGCAAGAGTGTTGATTCTTTTTATAGCAGAGAGTTCCCTCGTCATTTACACACATGCAGATTCTGTCCCCAGCCCGTTGTCTTCCTCAGCTCCGCGTTGGCCCCCACACCTCTGCTCCTGGAAATTTCTCTGTTGTCTCAGTTACACAGACTCAAGAGCTGTTTTCAGGAATGTGTTTCCGAGCCAGTGGTTTGACATCTTGATGTGATTTTAGTGAGGTGCTCTTGCGTCTATCAGTTCTGCTTTCCTTGAGAAGGCGATGGTTCTGGGGCTGTTGGCTCTTCTGAAAACAGAGTCATTCCACTGGAGGAGGAGACTTTCAGTTCAGAGTGCTGAATCGGGAAGACGGCTTGCACAGTTTAGGTTTCTCTAATTCGTTTCTGTTTTGGTGAATGTGGTTTCTGAGCTTTTGAGGAAGAGTGGACTTCTCCATTTTTGCAGACCACAGTTTGGCTTTCAAGGATTTTGTGGCCTTTAGGTACTTTTTGTAATGGGTCAGTAGCTCATTTCTAAATAGATTTGGTGGTTTGTGCTCAGTCGGGCTCTGCCAATCAAAACTCCTAGTTAAAGGGGCAGTGGGAAGGAAGTTATACGTAGGTTTTAAACATACTTCAAATTTGGGAGTTGACAGGAAAGAATACTCAAAATACTTTATTATGTTCTGCCGGTGTTAATCTTTTTTATTCTCCAATCCAGTCATTTTTGCATTTTCTCCCAGAGACACTCCCTCTGAGGATTTTCTCAGTTCTTAGGATCAGACTCTCAAGAACAGTGTACCCGCTGGACTGTTACCTTGTTTGCACGCTGCTCAGCCTGCCGGGACTTAATTGACGCTGGCAGAAGATGAGGGATTCCTGGCTAGACCCAAAGGACGCTGCTAATCACGGCAGTAATGGCGGTGGGAGTATCCGTGCTTTCTCTGTGTCGGTTTCTGGAGTCCCGTTTCTCACGGAATGAGGCGTCAAGGGTCAGGTAACAGCCTGCGGGTGCTGGGTGCTACAGGACAGTAACCAGAGCTCGGAAAACCCACATCTGTGCTGGTGGACAAAGATTGTGCTTCACTCCAGAGAGATATAGTCTCTGTCTTCCAAGACCATTTGCCTGACAAATATCCTTGAAAAGGTAGAAGAAGGGGCCGGTCTCCTGTCCACTGCACGTGCGTGCAGAAACACGAGAGGACCCATGCAGCGCTGTCTGCTGCCCGTATGTGGCTAGAACCATTCCCGGCGGATGGGACTGGTGGTGACCCCATTATGGGTGTGGATATGTTCCGGAGCCCTGGTTGAGGAAAAACTGCGCAGCCTGCACTGTGGGCTGCTGTTCATCCTTCAGGATACTGTAAATGTCAGAAAATCTTTTTAAGACCAGTATTTCCCACTATTTCTTTTTGAGAAAATATAGGTACTAACCCCACACGGGGGTTCTGAAGTCCAAAGATGTGTCCAGCGTAGGCTTCTGAGTTGCTGTGGGGAAAAGCCAGGAAAGCAGATGCACGAAATGAAATGTAATTGAGAAGTCCGATAGGTCATATTGGTAAACTAGTGCTGAGTTACATATTGTGTATGTATGTTGAACAACAGCAGAAAGCTCTCAGAAAGCGAAGCAACATAACAGGTGAAATTTAGAATCTGACATTGGACAGAGATGGCTGATTCCAATTTTCTAGTTTAAGAAAAAAAATGGAGAAAACTAAGCTAGGTGGGGGACAGCTCTTCTGCACCAATTTTTTTTTTAATTGAATTTATTGGTACATTCTAGGTAGACAGTACAGTTACATTCATTACTGGGATCTTGTACCTTTACATGACAGGTCTTGGTTCTCATTTTTCCCCTTGTCCCCACTCTCCCTTCACCCCCTCCTCCCCTCCCCGCTTCCAACACTTTAACTCCATTTTTACATTTTCTCATATTTTTTCCTTTTCCCTTATTCCTCTTTCCCTTTCCTTCTCACTGTCCCTACACCTTTGGTCCTTTTCTTCCTATTTCTTGTTGCTAATTGTCCCGTTAGGATCTTGAGTACTATTTTAGTTTTTCACACCAGAGAAACTATTCGGTATTTACACATGTGTGCCTTATTTATTTCACTTAGGCGTATACCCTCAATATGTACCCATTTACCTATGAATGAATCTACTTTCTCATTCTTTATTCTGCACCGATTCTTACAAGAATTCTTTGACTTTCCAAAAACCAAGGGATGTTATTCCTGCGTGGACAAAAAGAAGGGAATTAAAAAAATAAAAATAAAGATGTGAGGATTAAGTAAGTAATAGCTATAGATTTATGATCTTAATTTTTAAGGGGCTTTGTAAGTAGCCACACTGCTTATCTTCGCTCTGTAGCCGTCCTCCCTCTGAGCAGATGCAGATGATGGCCTTCTCATTGGCCATCCCGGAAGCACCCCGGAAGCACCTTGCATAACTGCTGGGAGATTTAATGGCGATTCTTGGGCTTATCCGTGGCCTTACATTCCCTATCAGAGCTTCATTCATCCCTTCCTCGCCTTTGCCTTCCTGATTAGCAAAGGCGCCTTTGAAGGTTCATTTCCTGCTGAAGAATTGAGTGCCTCTTGTGGCCGAGGATTCAGATCACTTTAAGATTTATAGATTTCTTGGCTTGGGATGAAATAGGTTTTATGAGTCCCAAATGAATGGCTGGATAAGGGAATTGTAAATAAGCTCCTCACAGAATAATGTTTCTGTTAATGCCACTCCACCTTTTTTCTGAGCACAGGTCAAGAAACCTGTGTAGTAAATGTCTACCGAGTCCATAATGCAGGCCTTCACGCCATCCACATGCGGCCTTAGAGCTTCAGAATTGGTTTGCTCGCGTTGGGTGAAGGTTTCATGTGCCTTGCATTGCCCCTGGCTTTGTGAGGGCTACAGAAAGAATTAAGGACCCAGTCTTGCCACAAAGACAGAAGAAATAACCTGTGAACATCAGAGCAACTAAGCCCAACCTGCTGGCCCATGTGTAGGTGAGACCAGCCTTGGCAGGTATCTGAGCTCCTGTGTGGGCAAAAGAGGAAGCCTGGGCAGAGAGGGGCAGTGTGTGGCAGAGGTGGGAAAGGCTGGCAGGAGGAGGCTTCTGGGGCAGAGGGGCCCTGTGGCAGCTGGAGCAGCTTGCAGCTGTAACGGGGACAGAATTGGGCAGACATGCTCTCATGTCGCCCCATGTGTGGCTGCCTTGGACAGCGAGCTGGGACTAGCAAGGAGGCCATGCTGGCAATGAAGACACCAAGCAGTACAAGTGGAAATTCTCCGGGCAAAGAGGAGCAGCCCAGGAGCTCTGCTGAAGTAGAAATGGACAAACCATGGCACTGGTTCTGCTGCAGAAGAGGCCAAGACAGGGCTTAGCGCTAATGTGTCACAAGGAAGCTGTTCATGGGAACTGCTGAATGAGGGTGAATTTGTGGTAAAGAGTGTCTGCATACGGCTCACACTAAATACATTTGCGTTGAAAATAACTCAGTGGAGGGGCTGGAAGTGTAGCTTGGTGGTAGAGTACTTGCCTAGCATCCAGAAGGCCCTGGGGTTGATCCCCAGCGTGGCAGCTGAGAGAGGATTTTATGAAGTGGGAAGTTTTCCATAGTATACTTTTGAAGGAAACTTCGTATACCATAGACACAGGGCTCTGAGTCTGAGATCACTGAAGAAGAATTCACATCACCACATATTCATATATTTATAGACCCTTCCAGGAGTCTTGCACTTGACCGCCTTTTAAAACTTGGAAATACCCAGTGTGGGTATCGTTTGCTGTTCATTGGCTTTGAACATTTTTTTCCATTAAGTTCATTGGTACTTTGAGGTATACAGTACAATTACATTTATCATTGGGATCTTGTACCTTTACGTGATATATCTTGGTTATTTTTTCCCCACACCCCTGCCTTCCTTTCACCCCTTCCACCCTTCCCTATTGACAAAGACTTTGTTTCTGAATAGTTTCTCTGGTGTGAAAAGCTAAAAATGTAAATAAGGTTCAAACTATATTAATTAATAATGTGAAATAGGAAGAAGAGGGCTAAGGGAGTAGGGGGAAGTAGAAGGGATAGGGGAAAGGAATGAAGGGAAGAGAAAAAATATGAGAAAAGGAAAAAAATGGTTTCTTAATCTTTAATACCAGTCTTTTCCCTGTCTATAGGAGTCCTAACAGTTGATGTCATTTTTTTCTGAGTTGCCACACGTACATGGCCCGCTGAAAATACTTTAAACGTTAAAATGTTGTGTGTTGGTCTTTGGCAGCTAGAGGCCAACCGCTGGACTTTAGAGTCTCGTGATTTGCCATTTAGGTTGGAGAAAGGAATACAGATTGTCTCCCGCTTAGGATGGTTTGACTTAGGATTTCCACCTTTCGAAAATGTCAGAGAGACGCTCCTTCCATAGAAACACGCTTTGAATTCGGATGGTTTTTCGGGCTGATGATTGTGGCGTGGTCCTCCCTCTCAGCGCTGGGGAGTAGCCCTGGCCCACAGCTCCCGGCCAGCCACCAGATCACAAAGACAGACGCTCTGTGGTGTACTACCGTGTCGCTAAGATGTTTGCTAGGTCACGTGCATTAAACGCATTTTTGGCTTACAGTATTTTCAGGTTGTGACAGGTTTATCACAGTGTAATCCCAGGGGAAGAAAAGGAAACTGAACCTTGAACATCAAAGCCACTTTGGGCACACGGTAGTGAACTGCTCTGGTTCTAGCTTAGCCAAGACGGAGTCTTCTCCATGAAAGTGCAGAAGTATAATGTGATAGCTCTGCTTTCAGATGGTGGTTGACCTTTGGGGCTACAGTCCTGGAGAGATCTACAGAGGTCTCTGTTCCTGCTGGCCTGGAGAGACACAGGAGCTGATCTTCTCGGGAACAGATGGCTGTACGTGTGGAGTTCCATGGCCTTCATGCTACTAATCCCATCCTTCAAACTTCTGTCCTTAGCCCAGGCCAGACTCGATCACCTATGGTCCAGTGGCTTAACCCACAGTCTCCAACCACACCGGGCTCCAACCCAGCTGGTCCATCTTCTTCGCTGGGTTCGTCACCTTTTCCCACCTCTGCTGCTGCCACCATAGCAGAGAAGCCCCCAGAAAGGTAGGTGGCTTGAAGTACAGTATAAAATGTAACGGTGGCACCCAGAAGGGGCTGCATAAACCCGTGTTCTCTGGCCCGGGTGCCCTGGTGCCCTGGTCTTCATGCACAACATTTGCAACTTTGTACTGGTCTCTGCTTTGCTTCAGTAGCAAGCACAGTCAGTTTTTGGTTTCCTAAGGGGATTGGTTCTGGGCCCTCTTCCTACCCAGAGCAAAATCTGCCTGTATTCCAGTCCAGACATGATGGCGTGTAACCTGTCCATTTCCTTCTGTATATTCTAAATCATTTCTAGATAACCTTCAGTATCCCATACAATGTAATATAATTATTATGCTTTGCTGTTACAGAATGATGAGCAAAATATGTGTGTGTTCAGTACAGATGCAGTTTATAAAGAAATATTTTCATTCTCTAGTGGATATAGAGCCCTCTGTGGAGATGGAGAGGTGACTGTGCATTTTTCACAGAAATTTGGCTTCGTGAGGCCTGATGATTGGACCTCCTCTGTATTTTTGGTACTGATTTTGCGTTTTTGAAACTAGTCATTTTTGAAGAACTTTTTGTTCATGAATATAAAGCATACTGTTTGTTTTAAAGGAAGGCAAAGTGGACCCTGGAAATATTAACTTGAATGGCCACTTAAGGGCTGGTTTTGTAGAGCACAGAGCATCTGTCAGGGTACTGGCTGAGGTTGCTCTTACTGGGAGTGACTTTGGCGACTCCAATGGGGCAGAGCATTTCCTTCCCCTTTGGTTCATATCTCACTGAAAGTATGGTTTCCCTTCTTTTCCCACAAGGGCACACAGGGTGTTTTGACAAGTAGGGAGAAGCCGAGTCTGCTGTACCTTTCTGAAGTGGTCAAAATAAAGCCCAGACCCTAATAGCATATGCTGCAATCCTGGTCTTGGGAGGCTGAGGCAGGAAGACTGGAAGTTCAAGGCCAGTCTGGGCAACTTGCCAAGGCCCTGTCTCAAAGACAAAAAAAAGCATGGGTTGTAGCTAAGTGGTCCAGTGCTTGCCCAGCATGTGCAAGGCCCTGGGTTTAATCTTTAGTACCATACAAAAAGAGGACAGGGCCGGGGATGTAGCACAGGGTAGAATACTTGCCCTGCATGCACAGGGTCCTGGGTTCAAGACTCTCCCAGAGGTTGTGGCACACAGACTGAAGTTAGTGGCTCTCTGGCAGCCCGCTCAGCATGAACTGTCTGTGCCTTTTGCTCCACTGCTGGCCCATCCACATGGGGACACTTTTCCTTCCTAACTGCAGCTGAAGTGAGCGGTAGGACGGCTCCTCCCACCAGAACGTTAGAATTAGGCAGGTGCTTGGGCAGCAGCTTCCTGGAGAGGCTCCCTACGGAGGGCTTTGCATTTGAAAGCCACCATTTACTTGAAAATCAAGCGCTGTGATTTTGCCTGATGTTCTTCTCTGTTCCTTTCTGTCCTGGAAGGAGTTGCCGCACCAGTGACCAGTACATGAGACTTAGGGAACAGCAGGCAGGCCTGGGGACAGACGACCTGGAGGCTTCTCTCCCTCAGTTCTTCACACTTTGATTTGCGTCGTTTGTGTTCCTTCTGCAGCGTTATCAGTCGGAAGGCTCGAGCAGTGTACCCGTGTGAAGCAGAACACAGCTCGGAATTATCTTTTGAAATAGGAGCAATTTTTGAGGATGGTAAGTGGGGCTGGGAGATACTCTGTCACCCCTGAGTGTGTCTCATGCAGAGTAAGGGGTCACTGGTTGTGGCTGTGTGGCACCCTGGACAGGAGAGAGAGCTGAAGCGTGAGGAGGCTTCCAGATCCCGATCACCAGGGGGCGCTGTGTTGGCGGCGGGAGCATCCTTCTGCCATCTTGATGCATCTTCATTCGCATCATTTCTCCTAATGGAAATGAGCTGGTACCAGTCAGAGTTAAGAAATATTTCTGATCTCTCTCCTTTGTTTTCTTGGTTCTCCCAGGACTCCTAGCCGAGCCTCCTAAATGCTTCAGGTTTGCTGAAACTGTGTTTTGATTTCTAAGCCCCTTGCCACTCCTACTCTTAACATTTTCCCCATCTTGAATGGGTACCACATCTCCAGATGTGGGTATTGACCTTGCGCATTGAAACGACAGTGGGCAATTTTATTTGAATGTTTATCATGTGCGCACAAGCATTTAAGAAGCTGTGATTGGCTTAATATTTCACAAATCTCTCCTACGGCTCAGTGTTTGTATTTTCCCCCTTGCTCTTGACTTCTTCCCTCCCTCCTTTGCTTAGTATGAAATTCATTGGTTGCTGTGGAAACAGGGCCATTGTGTGTGGGTGGAGCTCCCCAGAAGAGTTCCAGGGAAGCAGCAGGAACTTTTGATGCGCGGAATGGCCTGGCTGGCTGATGAGCTAGAATGTTTGGAGTCTGTGGAATATATCAACACGGTGCATTGTGGCATGTTGTCAGTAATGCAGCATTTGCTGATGGTTGTTTTTTAGAAAGCAAGTTGCCTCGTTCAGAATAGATTACGGTACATGCTCCCGAGAGCCAGAGACACCTGGTAGCATCAGAAAACAAACAACAGCACCAATATGCCACGTAAGACAGAACTGTACGTTGTGAAGAAACATTGTTCGTGGAGTAAAGGCGATATCTCTCCTCCAACCGTAACATATGTACAATTTTGCTGGAAGAGTGGTCACCAAGCCATCCCACTCCACACCTGGCACATATTGCCACAGTAGACAGCAGAAGGGAGAGCTGAGAGGGATTTTTACTTCTTGTGATGTCTGCTTAGGAACCTCGGAATTTTGTCACATAGAAAATTGTGAGATAGTTACCTTAGTAGAAGATGCATATGGATGCCTTAGGCCGCAAGTAACAAAATTGGACAGAGTTGGCTAACACAGTAGTGGAAATGGATCAGCTCATGTAGTAATAAGTCAAGAAGTAGGGTGCTCCATTGGATTAGTTCACATTCTTACAGATGTCCTCAAAGACCAGAGCACTTCCATCTCTCTGCTGAACCATTCTCTACTTATACACTTGGGCTCTGGCTGGGTTCCCTGGTTGGGGCAAAATAGGCCTCATGGCCACACTCAACTTGAGTAAAAGGAGGTATTTCGTCTTTGTGCACTTCCTTTTTAAGAATGAGAATAGTTTTCCAGAATTTTCCTCCTACTTTCCCTGCTGTAGCTTCTCCGTAGTCAGGACTGGGTCAGATTCTCTTACCCAAAGCACATGACCAGTAAGGTGTACTACACAGCCATGGGAATGAAGATCTGTGCTTAAATCAAATCTGGATCTGCCAGCAGCGTGGAAAGGAGAAAGGCTGGGAGGTCACTGACCCATGAGACATGGGTCCTCCAACTCTAAAATCCCTCCACAGCTCGCAAGAGTTCCTGAAAGAAGAGAGAGTGTATACATGTGCATGTCATGTGTACAGTCACACACACATACACACAAACATATACATACAGAGGAGAATCTCCATGTGTTTTTGAAAGAGCAAGTGTTTGATGACAGGCGGCAGTGTATTATAGGCTGCAGTTATTTTACCTGAGGTCGGGCCTTGGCTGTTTGACTTTCTGTGTGACCCTGGACACGTTCCTTTGATAGTGTTTTCATCAGAGTCCTTGCCCTAGTTTTCAGGGATATCTGCCACATCAACGTTGTGACCCCACTCCGCTTCCCTGTCCTCATTTATATGTCACTAGGATAGCATTTGGGGCTACTAGAGGACGAGGCTTTGAGTGTCACCAACACTCAGTGTTGCTTGCTGTGGTGCCTTGCCGCTGTGCAGTGGATGTGACCGTGGTTCCAGCCAAGTCACGTCTCCCTCTCGTTTAATGCCGGATGGTGTCCGTGTCCAGCCTGGTCTAGACTGGCTGTCTGGAGCCCCCAGAGAGTCTTGATGGTTCCTCAATCTCTCCCCGAGACTCTTTACTCCAGAGCTGCCTGTTGATGTGTTGACAGCCCTTCCTTACCCAAATAGGTGAGCGTCTCATTTTCTGTGAGCTGTGTCTTGTGAGTGTCTTCCTGAGCCTGTTACAGTGGTGCTGATGAGCTTAGCAGATAGATATGCAGGGTTGGCACCCGAGACTTGCTGCTTCTGAGAGACCGTTCTTAAAGGGCACAGCGAGCTGGAGGCACTTAAGCCGGCTGTTTGCTTTCTGTTGGACTTCCTTTCATCTCCTCTGCATGGTTGATTGCTCAGCTAGTGAAAAGCAACCCCTTGCTTTTCTAGAATGTGTCTGCTGAAGCCCTTCCTCAGGTACCTGTGGGGTCTTTTCCCATTGGACACAGCCAAGACATGTAGGCAGGTCATGGGACTCAAGCGTTGTGGAGCCCACAGTGCCCCAAGTGGCCAGTGTTTGCAACTGCACCCACAGGAGTGTCGCCAGGAACCCTCCCTTTCCACACAGCAGTGAGTGAGAGACACTCAATGTCCCTAAAACAGCCGAGACGTTTTTCTTGTGGCTGCTCCTCTATTTGGAATCTTCCAGAAGGCACATAGTTCCTGCGGTGCAAATCCTTTTTTGTGCTCCCACAGGCAACAGAGGAAACCAGTTGAAGAAAACAAAATTCAGGTCAAAGTGACCCGTGGGCTGCACTGTCAGTAGTTGCAGGGTTTGGAATATATATACCACAGTGAGAAATTCTAAACCAGCAGACGGTGAGGTGGTCTCGAGTAATTACATAGCTCCTAGCTGCTTCTTGCTTTTTTTGCTTTTATTGTGTGGGTCTGGACTTCAGTGAGGGGTTCACTTCCTGGCTGAGGGTTTGTTTCGGCAGTACTGGGGAAATGCCATCCAAACCCTGCCCGGGAGGGTACTGTCGAGAGGTTTCAGGGTGGCTGATGTCCCTACAGCTGCCACAGGGACCATCCCCTTTTCCCCGGGCCCCGGGGAACTCCGGAAATAGGCTGTGGTGGGTCTGGGGCTCCCAGATCTCCATGTGATGGGAAAGCGTGTGGCTCCAGCTGCCTGGAAGGACACAAGGGGCCTGCGGGGCGGATCTTCAGGGGCCACTGGCTCTCGGAGGTGTGGCTGGTTCCTCTGGGGGCCAGGCTCCGTGTTGGCTTGTCCGTGTAGGCATGTCATCTCTCTCTGCTTGGGAAGTAGGTGTGACCCTGATAAGTCCCGACTGAGCCTCTGGTAGTTAAAACTGAAAGGTCTCAGATAGAGAGAAGAATCCTTGAAAAACAATTTGGCCTCATCTTGGGAAGTTGATCCCATGTAGCTCTTACAACCCAGCAGTTTTATTTCTAGATATATTTGTAACATAGAGGAATCTTAGAAAAAAAAATGTTAAGTGCCAGGTGACTACACATAATAGGATTCTAGGGTGGCTCAGAAATCAGCAAAACGATGTTTTATTTGGGGTATGGACTTGCGTGATAAAACCTTATTTTGACCACAGCTGGGGTCAGAGAATGAAAAACACTCTTGAGCTTCTGATTGCTCTGGAAGGTGTGAGGCAGGAGACAAGACAGAGCAGCATCACTGCATTTACAGTAGCCAAAAGGTGAAAACAAGCTAAACATCCCTTGGCGCATACACAGATAAACAAAGTGCGGCCTGCACGTACAAAAGAGATGGCTGACCCATAAAAGGAAGGCACTTCTGACCCAGGCTCCGACCCGGATGAGGCCTGAAGATGTGCTGGATGAAAGAAGCCAGGCACAAAGGTTGACATATTGCATGATGCCATGTATATGAAATACTAGAGTGGCAAATTCTGAGAGATACTAAGTAGAGTACAGGCCTCCAGGAGCCAGAGGAGGGAGACTGGAAAAATTAATGCTTCTTGTGCCTCTCGCTTTAGTTTGAGGAGATGAACATAGAATGGTTTCACAATGCTGCAATTGGTCTCAACGCTACTGAATTATACACTGCAGCGTGGTCAGTACAGTGAGTTTTATGTAGCCATTAAACTACAGTTGAAAACAACCAATGCCAGGGAGCACTGATCACAACTCTCATCAAGTTTTGAGCGTGCACAGCTCACCCAGGGTCTCTCAGCTTGCAGGTGGCAGTGCAGGGACCCCAGTCCTTACAAAGTGAGCATGGCCCTTTCTGCCTGTGTCCTGTGCATGTGTCCAAGCCTCCTGGAGCGAACTGTGGAGCTGTTACTTGCCCTTTCCTTATAGGGGATTGTGGCTGGTGGCAGCCCAGCATTGGATAGGGAGAAGCAGCTGTCTTCAGGTCATTTTCCCCACTCCTTCCCAAATCTGTTGCCTCTTGGAGCATGTGTGTAAGGGATCTAAGGCTCTTCAGGGGTCAGTGTCCCTGCCCCGCCCCACCTGGCTGCATATCGTGGTGTCCTCCCAGCATTGGACTGGGCAAAAGTTGCACGGCCAAAGGAAGGCCAGGCTCCTTGACAGAAACCAAATGTAGAATATGGCGCACAGAGAAGGGCTCAGGGGAATCACGGAAACGAGGACTGGCCAAGAAACATGGTGGAAAAGTAGATGCCCCACCATGAAGAAGTGGGCTCTCTGTAGAGAAGGCCCTTCCCACCAGACCGACCGTCCCTGCTAGTTGGAGCAGCGTGGCCACACTTGGCCCCTGCCTGCTGCCACGAGCTGCCCTAAGGTTGTGCGTTAATAGGAAGGCAGGCAGGCAGGCCAGCCCTGTGGGAGAGGTTTTGGGCTTCGTCCACTGTTTACATTCTCCACGGAGGCGTTTGTGGCCAGTGTGGGGCAGGGGCAGCAGGATAAGGGTCTCCCTGGCCCTGGCAGCTGCTGGTCTTGGAACATTGTAGGAGCCCAAGGTGGCCCTGAGGTGGGAGGCTCGCCTTGGAGAGGTACTGAGCATCCAGCAACTGGAAGCCTCTGACCTCTGTCAAACTAAAGCTGGTGTCTGAAGTCTCACTGCAGCATACCTGATGGAAAGTAGCCCTTTTCTCCTGAGAGAGGCAGGCGCTGCCACGCAGGTCCCTGGCCCTCTGCTGTCCCAGGCAGCTCCCCCACTTCCTATCTTTAGAGCTGTCCAGGTGGACTGTGCCTGCGCCAGCCCTGCTGCCCGGGCGGAGGCTGAGCTCTTAACGCCAGCTGTGAGCGGGGCTGTTGTAGAAAGGCAGAGTCTTCCAAAAGGCGGATTCTGGTTCTGTAGATATGAGCTCCGGGATTCAACCTTACGCTGCTGCCAGTGGCCTTTTAAGGTAGCATTGAGACCACTGCAGTCACCTCTTTACTCCCTCAGCAATGATCTATTCTTTCTTCCCCAGTTCAGCCATAAAGATCTAAGTTGCCTTGTTCATCAGGAGGAGGGCACTCAGGTTGTCTGCATTGGCTTGAGTGTTCCTTGAACTCACAGGCGATTCAGTGACACACTCATGTGCCACACACCTTGGAAGTGGGAAAGTTACTTCCATAGCGACGCTGCAGAAATGCAGATACCTCGCTTTCCTCATCTCCAGTATTTTTTTGGAGCATGGCACACGAATCCCAGGAAGATGTAGAAAAGGGTAAGCGTGCTGGGGAGTATGGAGTGACCCGGAACTCCTCCCAGCAGGTGCCCTGTGGCAGGGCCTCGGCGCCCGGGGCTCTGTACCCATTGTTCATGGGCAGAGTGACTGATGGGACTTGTGCTTTGCTCTTGACATGATGAATTTACTCTCTTACCGTGGAGAGTGCATGGAGACGGTCAGTTCCTGCCATCATGCTGGGTAGTGCGCAAGACCCCACACCACTGAAAGAAGAGAAAAGCCCGGTCTCATTTTAACCTGTGCAGCACTTTCTGATGAGTCACCTTTTACCCTCTCTTAGAAATAAACACAGAGTCTGTGAGAGAGTGATAAACCATCCGGGTCACGCAGCCATGGAGGAGCCAGAGTTCCAGCCGGGGTCTTGAGGACTCCAGAGCCCACCTTGTTTGCATTACATTCCCATTTTCTGGAGTCAGAAGTCTTCTCCCACATGACAGTTGAGGTGGTTTACTCCCGACAGTGCCCGGTGCCAGCCAGCATTCTCCAGAAAAAAGAAAACCGATAATGAGGGGGGAAGCAGCTGCCTGAGACCCAGGGAAGAACTGCAGCGTGAATCTGAAGGCAGGCTGTGGCCCGGCAGCATTTCTTCCTCTCTGCCCTCTTTGTTCGTGCTTCTCCTGATCACACAGGGCCCACCACGCTATGGAGACGAAGCTGTTTGTCAGAGACCACTACTTAACTGTTGCCGGCAGCTGAGTGTCTGGAGTAATCGATTGGGTTTTCACAGAAACATCCGTCCTAGTGCTTGACCAAATGTCTGGGGATTTCGGTGAGCCAAGTTTCTCAAACTGAAGAGCTGGGCAGACTTAAGTAGAGAGAGGAGCCAGCAGTGGGTACCTGGGCTCTGACACTCTGAGGGGGGACCCCTCTTGGGCAGTCTGTGAGCCACCCTTCCTGTGGCTGGAGATGCCCGGCGACCGGGGTTGTGCAGTGCACTTTCTATCCCATCTCCCCTGCTGCCCGCCTGGCCATTTGAAGCCGCTTGAGCTTTACCTGGCCCCTGTGGTTTCCTCCCTCAGTCAGGGACCCGCTCCCATCTTCTGGGGAAGGGAGGGTGTCTGGGACGTGGTGAACAGCTTTCCTGTGTTCATGGGGACAGGGAAGATCCTGGCCCGGTCCTGGTTTGCTCTGTCTTTTGTGAATGCCTTACCTTTTGTAAGTATGTGCACACCCAGGAGGAGCACATGCAAATGGATTCTCTGTACCTTCTGAGGGCCACAGTATTTCCTAGCTAGTGTGTGCCAGCCGGCAGCCTCCCCCAGGCCTCTCACTTCAGCCCGGGGCCTTTCCCCTCGGGAGGCCACCTGGCCAAATCCCTGATGGCGGCTGCATACTGGTAGCTTTGCCAGCTTGAGGGTTTGGATGCAATCGAGAGGCCTTTACGAATCTTGCTCTGCCAGGTTCAGGGTAGAGATAATCGAGGACACGAAGAGAGGGGCTTGTTTCCATATCAGCCTGAGAGCATGTGCTGAGTTCAGTTTATCCATTTATGACGCGGATGTGAGGGGGGCACTGTGCTGTGCTGGGAGCGGGAATTCTCAGGTCACATGTCTGTCACCTGCTCCTGTTGTACCCTGGGCTAGGAGAGGCTCACACACGTGACATACGCAGGGTGCGTGGCTGGGCCCCTCATCTGGTCTGGGGTGAGCAGAGCCTCCTGGCAGTGAGTTGCTGAGCCCAGTACCTGAGGCCTCCTTGGCGCTACCCAGGCCTGGATGGATGGAGCAAGCACATAGAGACCTTAAAGCAGAAGTTGGGCGAATATGAAGAAATAGCAGAAGGCCAGGACGATGCAGACAGCCAGCATGTGCACTTGCGTCTTCTGACAGCGTTGGGTTCCACTGTTAGACCTGGGGTCACGTTCTTGAGAAGGGCTATCGGGATTGAATGGTCAGTGTCTTCCAAACTGGAGGTTGCTACGAATCAGTGGTTCATGAATTCAGTTTTCCAGCCAGCGCTCAAAAAAGAATAAGGAAAGAGAGAGCATTGTCCATAGTAAGAGTAAGTGTTGTTTCACGAGACCTAGGTATCTCGTGTACGTGTGGTGCTTTTGGTTTCTGAATCACATGGTCCTTGTGGCTTGGAGTCAGAAGTTGTGTGTCAGAGGCAGTTCCCAGTTGAGTGGTGGGGAGCACTCCCCTTCCTTTCTTTAGGCACAGAACTGCCGCTCCTGCCCATGGCTGGGGTACCCTCCACTGGGCCCACTACATGCCTCTGCATTTGATTTCCAGACGCTGGTGAGGAGGGCTGGACCATGCGCCCTTGCTGTCCAGCCTGCGGTCATACATGTGCATGTGGAAATATTTGGGTACCTGCTGTGGGCCAGGCACTGTGCCCAGATGTCCCTCAGCCTCCCCATTCCATGGGAGTCAGGCCAGGGCCTGGACCGTGCCTGCAGGGGTTGTCAGTGCCAAGGAAGGTTGAGGCTGACTTCTGGGGGAGGATCTTGTCCCCTCAGGTCTCTTAGGAGAAAGAACCTCATGTTGAGGGGGTCAGGAGGCATTCGAGGGAGAAGTCAGCCACATGTGCAACCGCGTGGAGTCCCTGGGGCTTCTCTGGCAATTCGGGACAGTGGACATAAGGTGTGCACACGAGTGTCGAGGGCCTGGTGGAGGGGTGCACAGGGCCATTTGGGAATCGAGTGTGACTCACGGGGACAGTGATGTGCAGTGCCCTGTGTCCTAGAGAGTTCCCTCTGCATAGTGGATTTGGAAGGGGCAGACTGGGATGGTAGAGACCAGTTGGAGGCGGTTGCAGGAAGATGGGAGGATTTGGGTGTCAATCCAGGAAAGAGACCGTCCGTCCCCCTTGTACAGACTTCGTAACTGGATATCCCAGGTGCAGCACCCTTCTCTCCTGGCCAGAGAGAGAGAGAGAGACAGACAGACAGACAGACACACACACACACACAGCCGTGAGGTTGTGCCAGGTGCCGGGGGAGGGCGTCTTGTTAAATTGCTCTCTCTCTCTCTCTCTCCCTTTGCAGTACAAACCTCAAGGGAACCTGGCTGGCTAGAGGGCACTCTGAATGGCAAGAGGGGTCTGATTCCACAGAATTACGTCAAGCTGCTGTAGCCCCGGGCCTCGGAGGACCACTGCTGACCCTGGTGCCCACACACTTGCCAGGGAGCGGCATTTTACAAACCACAGCCACACTCGGGAATCACTTGTCATGGTTGGCACTGCACGCCTGGGGAAGGTGGATGGAACCTGCCTCACAGAACTGTGTGGTTTGGTGGATGAGCGCCGATGAGTGTCGGGTTCACGGAATGGCTTTTTCCCTTGTCAAGAGCCAGGACGTGGGGTTTTTAATTATTTGCCCCTAGAAGGAGAAGGGAGGACAGCTATCTGCCACCTCCATTGGCAGCCATGGCACCAGACCCTCAGAGGACCCTCTCCCCTGCACCTGCTGCTGAGATTTGAAAGGGAACTGTCCTTCCTCCACTGGGCTGCCGTAGTGGGGGGCGGGCTGGACCGCAGGTGTCTGCTGGTGCAGGGAATCGGTCTCAGCCTGGGGAAAGCAGAGAGGGCAGCCCTCTCCACGCCTGCTCCTTCCTGCAGGGCCGCCCTGGGCCCCACACTCGCTCCACCTGCCCTGAGCACACCGGCATATTTATAACAGGCTACTCTCCGGTGCTCCTCACCTGTGTGCTGTTTGTCCAGGGCTACCTTTTTACCCAAGATCTCTCTGTAAATGAAATAAAGTGTAATTTACTGTTTGATTTGTATGCTCTGCTATGGGGAAGGGATGTTGGGATTCATTCCCTCTGAAGTGATTTATGATCTCCCCAGATGGTGGAGAATCATTTTTGTCATGTGGTGGCACATGCACAGGTATGGGGTGTTGATGGGGAACCTTGCTTATTCTCAACAGGACATGTTCTGGGCGGCAGGGGCTGATGTCCTCTCTGCTGTGTGAGCTTCTGCCAGCTTGCTGCATGGGCCTTTCCCGTGAAGGCAGGTGCAACAGTAGCAGGGCTGGGATAGGTGCAGGATAGCACAGTTAACTGTCATGTCTGCCTGAGTAAGAAACACCCATCTGACTGGATTAGCCAGTTGTGGATGCGGCTGAATGATTAACACACCCAAGAAGGAAGATGCACTGTGCTTATGAGTCGCCCCACCCAGTAGGCTTGGAGCCTGAATGGAATAAAAAGCGAAAGAAGGCTGTCCCACGTCACACTTGGGAAGAGCTCCAGTCTTCGCCGTCACCTTCAGATGTCCCTTTCCAGGCTCGCAGCAGACTCTCCAGCCTTCCGACGAGACCCTTCCCTGCTAAATACAGACTCTAAGGTGAGCTCCAGGTCTTCTAGCTTTGACTGGACCGTTCGGCTCTCCAGCACACAGACAGCGCTTTTGCACTCTTCCTCACCTGACGCTGCAAGGCGACCAAGAGTGATCTGTTCCTCTAGTGAGCCCTGACACAGGGTAGGAGCTGTATTTATGCTGGTGGCCAGCCCTCCTGAGCAGCTCCATTGGGTAAGTCTCTCCCACATCACCCAGTGCATCCTGTGTCTTGCAGACCTCAGCACTGATAACTCTGGGCAGGGTCCGAGGCTGGCAGCCCACGATCGAGACCTTCGTGCCCAAGGCTGACAATCACCATGGCATGGGCAGGCCCTGCTGTGAGCTTCCTCATGCTCCAAAGCCTTGACTCCAGCCACACCCCAGCCAGCTACTAGGGCGAGGAGCAGATTTTCCCTTGGAGCACAAAGCACATTTTTAGCAGCCTCGGGAGACTGAGGCCAGCTGCACACCAGATGTTGGGTAGAGAGAGGATGATGTGTCTCTCTTCCCTGGGACAGCTTCCTGGACCTGTCAGACTTCTCCCTGGAGGATTTATGTAAAGAGGGATGTGTCTGTTTCCTCTTCCCCAGGTGAACTGATTCACGAGCTTGCTGTCTCGCTGGGTGACAGTGCTGAAATCACCTTGTGTAGACTGTGGAAGGGTTGTGTTTGGGGCTGCAGGTTTATAGTGTCTGGCCCGTGTTCCTATTGGAATGTGATGGGAGCTTACAGAATGGGGTCTTTGGGGCAGTTCAGTCATCGGGGGCATGCCTTCAAAGGGAACTGTAGGACTGTTGTTTCTTCCACCTTCTTTTGTGTCTCAGCCACAAGGTAAAGAGTTTGCTCCCGCCACGTGCTCCCCGCTCTCGTGGTGTGCTGCCAAAGCAGTAAGGCAAATTTGTCATGGGCTGAAACTTCCAAAACTGTGAGCCGAAATGAACCTTTTGTCTTTGTAAGCTGATTATCTCAAGTATTTTGTTATAGCTGCAAAAAAAGCTGACTCACGAAGGAGGTAAGGATGGGAGAGGGAGGTGCTTCTAGAAAAGTCCTTGCTGTGACTAAAAACAAGGACAATTTTAGTGTAACAGTTTAAAATACTAAACCATAGGTTCTGTGGAAAGGTTTGAGACTGCTGAGAAGCCCAGGACCGCCCCACAGCAGCTGACTGGAGGCCTGTGTCTGTGCTGACTTGGATTTAGAGGTGGGAAGGGAGAACCTTCAGTGCCCTGTGTTCTGAGCTCTGCTTTCCTGCTCCTCCTCATCACCCTAGGGACTTAGAAGGGAAACATGGCCGGTGAGAACAGGTAAAGTGTCTGCTATGACTTACATCTAGCTGTCCCCCCAGCCTCATGTACTTGTGGGTAGGGCTGTTGGGAGGGAGGTGACTGGATCGTGGGTGTGTGATCTCCACTGATGTGCTTTTTATAGCTGGGGGGTGATGCTGGGAGTGAAAGCCTAATGGGAAGAGGTGGGTCACTGGGCTTATGGCCTGAAAATAAATATGAATATGAATAGAAATATGCCCTCCTCCTCCCTTGATCCCTCCTCCCTTGATCCTGTCTGCCGTGCCATGAGCTCTTTCTCCTCTGCTGTGACCCACTGCCATGCTGCTTGTCTTGGAGCCAACTGACTACGAACTGAGACCTCTGCAGACTGTGAGCTAAAATAGACCTTTGCTCCTTTAAAATCGTAGGTGTTGGGTATTGTGTCTCAGCAGTGAGAAGGTAACCGAGACTGTCTCACTTTACAAAAACTATAGGACAAGCACAGCTGTGGGCAGTGGGCCCAGGGAGCACTGGCTTTAGTATCTGGCAGTATTCCTAATAGCCGTGTCCCTAGGGGCATTGAACATGACACGCTGTGCTACAGAACCTGATCAATTTGCTTGTCCAAGGAAGATTCCCATTGTTCACATAACCCAAAGTGCTTTGCCACTGTTTGGTTAAGGAAGTTACCACTTAGTCTGGCCATCTGACCTTGGGCAAGGTAAATTACCTCCATGTTTATTTCTGTTCTTGCCTCCCCCACGAAAACATGCCAAGAGGTAGGAGTTGAAATGACCTAATAGAGGTAACCTGTCCAGTAGGAGCTCAGTTAGTGGGAATGGGTGGTCCCTTTATTTTCCTGCCACGACTGTGACTTGGATCTTTGTCCTGAGGGCCCTCTGTGATCCTTAAGAGGCTAGTTTGACAGTACTGAAGTTCCAGAGCGGTGCAGCTGCAAATTCTCCTTTGCCCAGAGCACAGCGGAACTGCCCTGGGTTTATCTGGGGAGGGTAGTGCCAGGAAGCCACGGCAGTTTCCTTGTGAGACCATGACCCTTGAGTACAGTGGGGCCTGGCTGGGCAAGGCTGCTGGGCAGCAAGCTTTCTCCTGATCGAGGCCCAAAATATACTTAGTAATGGGATTAGGGTTTGTTTGTTTTTTTCTTAATTGCTGGATCATCTTCTTTCGCCAGAAGAGAAGTGGGTGTGTGTTTGCTGGATGAGTATGGGTGACTCGAAGCATCTGCAGAGGGTGCACCCATGCATGGTGGCCACCTCTACCTCTGTCAGGACTCAGGCTTCCCGGCCCCATCCCTCCTGGGACCAGGTCTGCAGCCTGTGTGTTGGGTGAAAGACAGCACCCAGAATCTGTTTGTTGTGTGTAGTGGGGGATACAGGGCCTGAATCTGCCAGCGTCACCCACAGGGCCTTCCCTGCACGCGTGAAGGGGATGCCAGGTAAGAAAAGAGCCAGAGGGACTGGAAGGCTGCATCCTTCTTGGGTAACAGCAGGAGTGTGTGCATGTGGGGGTTTGGGTAGGGAAAGGGAGGGTGCCTGCCAAGGATGAGTGTTTTACTCACCTTCTCCTCACCGTGACTGTGTGAAACAAGAAGCAGCATCCCATTTTAGGGATGAGAAAATGGGCCACGCACTTGCTCTGGGTCTGCAAGGTATGAAGTACCCCTTTCCCGCACCATCTGGTCTTGGGGGCCAGCAGAGACAGTGGCTGTGACAGCTGGCACCCACCACCAGCTTCATCGCCAGCGCGTCAGAAAGTGACTTCATGTGGAAACGGTCATGCAGAGGTGACTGAATGAAGCACAGTAGGCTTGGGCCCTGATCCAGTATGACTGGTGTCATTTCCCAAGGGGGAAAATTTGGGTATGGAGAAAGACAAGCACGGAGAGAGGACGACAGGAGTAGGAGAGACAGGGAGGAGATGGCTGTCTCTCAGCTGAGTGAGGGCCTTGGCAGATCCTGTCCACAAAGCCTCCGAGCAAAGCCACCTGCCTATGCCTTGACACAGACTTCTGGCTCCAGAGCTGTGCAAAGGCGACTTTCTGTAGCTCAAGGTTCCCCTTTTACTGTACTCATTAAAACAGCTTTAGGAAACCAGTATCATGGTGCATGTTTTGAGTTACACGCAACCTACTTTTATCCTGTGTTCAGTGTTTTCTACCCCGGTGACCTTGGATGACTTAACTTGACCAGTAGCAGCCTCTTGGGATAGATATCATGATAATTGGGAAACATCAATGCTTAAGGAATGCATGGCGGGAAAGAGTTCAGCAGAGGAGGGTGGGGAGTCACCTGGCTGTGTCCTATGGCTAAACCACGGTTATAGTTTAGAGCTTCAGTGCTCCCCACAACAAAGCTGGCAACCCAGCTTATTGTAATGCTAAGAGTATCTTAGTCTGCTGCTTAGAAGAATATATTAGCACTTTCCTATCTGAAGATTAACTTGCTGGATTGGTGGTTATCTAGTAAGACCGGCACTGTGCACTTGAGTTGTGAGTAGGAAAGGGATGCATCTAGAAGCTCTGTGCCACGTGTAGGTATCTGGATTTCTTCCTTGGAGTGTGGAGCAGCTATGGAGATACTGAGCAGTCAAGGAGAAGCAGGCTCAGACCCAGATGGGCAGGCTGGCCCAGCGCAGGAAGATCTGTTAGATCCATAGAGGTGAGTTTTTCAAACAAGGGGAAACCTGAAAACACACATTCTACTTAAGAATATCTGAGTTAATGCTGGGGGCAGACTGATTTAATGATCCCGACCGATGATACTTATCTGGGTCTTGCATAAAGAGCTCTTTCCCTGTTGACTGTGGGCTTGACCTCAGCTTGCTTTGGGCAGTGAGACGGAAGCAAACCTGATACAACCAAAGCTTTGCAGCTTTTCACCTTTTTAAAGAGTCCTGTCTTGCCAGGCTAGCCTGCTGGAGGACCAAGACCACACAGAGTAAAGCTGTCATAGCCTAGATGGCTGCAGGGTGACCACATGCATGAACAAGCCCAGCTCAGCTGAGCCTGACCCTTATCAAACCCTGGGCCAACTCAGAAAGGGGAAATGAGAAATGCTCGTTGATGGATCACTAAATTCTAGGGTGGTGGTTATGCCGCAGTTGCTAACTGTCTACTTCTTTGCCCCACATTTCATTTTGCTTTGGACAAGACATGGCCCATGCTGAATATTGAGATCCTGTCTTAATCCTTTCTCCCCCAACACTGTTTGGGAACCCACTGTTTGATTTCCACGAAGAGCGCTGTACTAGCAACTAAATGACTTGAAAGTGCCAGAGGTATGGAAATTACATCATTTAAATCCTGTGTATTCAGTACTTGTGTTTATCAAAAAAAGTATGTTAATTCAGACTTAGGGGGCATTCAACATATAGAAGCAAACAAAGCGCTTAGTAATATATACAAGACTAGGCGTGGCTTCTACCGCACTGCTGGGTAGCAGCTGATAGGAACCAGTTCTCACTTCATGATTCCTAAATGTGTAGCTGAATTATTTGGCCCCAAGGCCGCTTTTAAACATTCTTTGAGTGAAATAAAGGCATTCTTGACCCAACAATAAGCCTACTTAGCTCAAAAATGGCACCCACTTTAACAAGGGTGCGCAGCCATGCTCCTTAGAAGGTCACATTTCTTAAATTATGAAATATAAAACTCGTTCCATTTATAGGTGCCTTATGACAAATATGCAGCATTGTGTTCAAGATCACTGTATTAAAGAATCGAATAGTTTCTCAGGTGTGAAAAACTATAATGGTACCTAAGATCCTAATGAGATAATTGACAAACAGGAAGAAAAGGGCTAAAGGTGTAGGGGAAGTGGGAAAGGTAGGGGAAAGGTAATGAGGGAAAAGGAAAAAAAACATGAAAAATGGAAATAAAGTATTTGTAGATGGGGAATGGAGGAGGGGGTGAAGGGAGGGCAGGGAAAAGGGGAAAAAATGAGAACCAATGTAAAGGTACAAGATCCCAATGATGAACGTAACTGTACTGTGTACCTAAAATGTACCCATAAAGTCAATGAGGAAAACAAAAGTCAAATTGATCAGTTTTCTCTTTTTGAAACCAAGCAGTCCCAACAATCGAGATTTAAACGACATATTGGAAATGAACTTGCATTTTTCCTGTTTTAAAACTAGCTGGTAATTGTGTAGTCCTTGTTACTGAGTGGAACAGGCTGAGAGACTAAGGAGGAGAGTGGCAAACATCAGGGCCACCGAGGAGCTGAGCTGCGGTAGCCCAAGGAAACTGCCGGTGACAGGTGGAAGGGGAGAGGAAGAGCAGGAGGAGGAACTCTGGAGTCAGACGGGACATTGCTGTTTCACTCAGGTGAGTCTCAACCTACAGAGTAAGTTTTCCTGTCACCGTGAAGATATGTGAAGCAGGGCATATATCGTTACTAGTATGTCAGTGATCCCAGGGTTAGTCACAAACATGGTATCTCATCAGTCCCCAGAAGGAAACCTGCCCCTCACACAGAGCTCTTTTGAGCAAGGGGCAGAATGCCTGTCATTGCTGCTTGGCTGGACACAGCACAGATAATCAGTTTGGCGTGGCACAAAGTCTAGCTATACCTACAGACACTCAAATGAGCCATTTCCCAAACAACAGGTGATTAAAGTAAAGGATTTATTGTGATCTGCTTACAGTCCTTTGCAAAGACAGACATGTTTTTGCATAAAGATATAAACTGCTTCATTTTAAACTAATTTAGTGTTTAATTATATGAAGACGTTTTGGTGAATTATGAATTGTACCAAACCAGGATTCTTAAGAGCAATATGGTACAAAAATAAGAGCAGACAGACAATTTGGACTGGGACAGGCATTCAACAGTGAATTTAGAATATGGCTTTGCTGTTTAATCAAGCAAAGTTACCTGGAGACACACAAAGCGCCAGTAACTTTGTTAATACAAAAAGCTGATGCAGACCGTTTCATCCCAAACCTGATAAAGCTGAAATCCCGATGTCATAAAAAGTTGTCTGAACTAAAAGCTGCTTGTACCACCATCTTCTTTTCCAGAAACTCCCAGTCTGCATGTTGTGTATTTCTCATCTTTAGAGTGTGGCTTTCATATTGCTGTGCATGTGAGTTGACTGCGTTCAAAGATCTGCCTAGAAATTAAATTCTTGAAATTGCAAATTATGTAAGGAAAAGTCCTCCCTTCCTCCGAGGGCCGCTTCCACAGGTTTCCCCTTGCATAAGGCAGGTGTCTTTTAAAAGACAAGGTAGGTAATGTTGCCTGCATGGTGAACCCTGGAGAGGTGCTGATCTAACCATGCCTTCTCCCAGCCTCAGCTAGAGCTACAGCTATTAGGTTTTGGAAAATAATGCGATTTCACTGAGGATGTGATGGTTACCATCACAACTTTTAAAAGATTAATTTGGCCTCTATTCAAAGTAGTTTAGTGCAATCATATCGTTAGTTTCTCCAAAGATTTATATATATCGATATATCTATAGATATATCTATAGGTATAGATGTGATTTAGGGCAAGAGAAAAGCCATAAATTGCATCAGTGCCAAACAGATTACTGAATTAAAAATTTTAGTGCCACTGTCTTGCTTGTATGATCTGTAGTGTTTCTGTTTTTCTCCAAAACTGTTGAAGTATAAAATTTATTTTTAAAACCTACCTTTAAAAAATCTAAAAACCCTCGAATGATCTTCCGGTCTCCATGCCATTGTGACAGATCTTTGCCAAGATGGACTGTCCCAGTACATCCTGCCACGATCTACGTGTTCCCGAGACCAATTCCAGGAGTGCCAGAGGCTTTCCAGGAGCAGGAATGAGCCCCCGATTTCCGACAGTTGTGGACTGTGCCTGGAACCCCCCGCCCCACGCGAGAAATTGGCTTTTTGTAAAGGGTGGAGAATGGTGCTCTGTGAGCGGAGTTTCCAGCCTCCTCCTCCAAGAGCTGATTCTGCTTCTTATGGGAAAGGGGACAGGGGCAGCTTCTCAGGAGCTGAGCCTTGCCTGGACTTTGCGTCCCGCGAGTGCCGTCAAGTGACACTGGCAAGGAGCTGCCCACACCTTGGTGTGTTGTCCCCGATGGAAGCAGGATGAAGCAGAAGCTGGAAAAAAGTGCTCAAGTCTCACAAACGCCCCAAGTGGGAGACCAAGAACAAAACAAAAAGTACAGAAAAAGTAGAAAGGCTTAAAGACAACCGAGGAGGCCGAAGTGTGGTTATTTACAACAGAGACTGTAAAATGGTAAATTAGATACGAAGCTAAAAAAGGCACAGCGTTCCCTTTCTTAAATACACTGTAAACGGTTCATTATGCATGCAGAACATTTCACTTTACAAAAGAAAATTTTTACCTTGTTTAGACAAAGATAGTACTTAAATAGTCTCCAGTAAAATAGAATTCTTTCAAAAATACTTTCCCATTCATCCTATTAACCATTAAATTTTTTTTTTTGTTATGTGTCTTCATTTACAAAAGTTCCTTACACCTTATTTCAGGTCCTTCACGATTTATACATACAGTAATGTACAGCACAGCAAAAGACTGCAAAAAATTATCTGTAAAGCCAACACAATAGATACTAGAAATTGAAACCAAGGCATTTGTTTTAACATCTTATCCATTCTAATTAAATAATAAATTGATGCTAACAAGTGTGTATACCAGAGAGGGCCGCTATTCCAAGCCGCGTATTCTGTTATTACACAACAGGAATCTGTATATATTTTTTCTTTTTTGTGTTTTTTAAATAACAAAAGAATATTAATGCCCCATATTGACTATACGTTTTTATGTGCAAACCACAGGTAAGCTTTAAAAAGTTCGTTAGTCCTTGAACCCTTTTAAAACAAGCGAACGATACTGGAAACTACATGGCATAGTTAAAACTTCCATCTGTTAAAATATCAAAATCAGAAAGTTATTGACTAGATATGGCTTTTCATCCAGAGGAACATGTTTCTAAGCGCTGGGACTGGAGAGGGAAGAGTCCTTTAGTCTGCCCGATCTTGCCAAATCCATGTCAAACGGCTTTCCCGGCTCCAAACCCTCGACATGATTTTAAGCTTGAGAGACTGCTGACGAGTGTGAATCAACCATGATTTCTCGAGTCCTTTGTGGGTGTGGAATTACACGGGGAAACTTAAGGCAAAGTTCTTCTGGTAAGACATCCTCCGTCACTTCCTGTGAAAGTAAAGGGCCTTGGCGTTGCCGGACTCCACCTTTGGCAGCTGGTCACTGATGATCTCGACCAGCATCGCGGGGAACTCCACTTTCAGGGCCTGGGACTCTCGGAAGGTGTAGAAGCAAAACTCCAGCAAGTCGCTCACCAGCTGCAACACAGACGGAGGACACAGTGTGAGGACACGGCGTGAGGGCCTCAGTTTCATCCTGCCCTGGACCCCTCTGTATCCTAACTGACGTGAACCCAGAGAGCAACACGCCGGAATCCTGACGGGAAACCAAATTACAGTGTTATCAAGCTGGGGCTGTGGGGGATGGAGGTTGTTCCTATCACCTGTAACACAGTCGCCTTTCGTGCAGGATAAATTCAGCTGAGACGGGTACCTAGGTGTCAAGCAGCGAACGCATCTGAGGCGGCAGTGCGAACACTGACTAGGACGTCATGTTGGCTGAGGCTGGGGTATGTGTGTATCTGTCTTATGTTGGAATGGGCCTTCCCAGGCAGGGGCTGGCTTCAGTCTACACACATTGGGTGCCCAGGAGAGGGAGAAGCCTGCCACAATGCCTCATGGGCCAGCGTGGGGTCCCCATAGTTCTGAGGGCCAAAGGAGCCGAGGGAGCTGGTCTTTCTGCTGAGGTGGGGCAGGGCTGAGGCTCCGCGGCCCCTTTCTAGCACCGTCTGATCTGAGGGCCTGGAAGTCTCCCAGTCATTGTCCTTCTAGCTCATCTTCCCTGTCCTACTCCCAGTCCTGTCAGTCACACGTGTACAATAATACTTTTCACCCCGGCTGCTTTTCCATTTACTAGGAATACAATTTCAAATCGGAAAGAATGGTCTGTACCCTGTGCTATAGTTTGGATACTAAGTGTCTCCCCAGAGACCTGTGTGCCCAGTGCTTGTCCCCTGACTGCCTGCCATTAATGGGAGGTGGCAGAGCCTTTACCGGGAGAGGCCTAGTGGAAGGGCTTGAGGGCCTGAGAGACGGGGCTGGAAGGAAAGAGTGGGGCTGGGCCCCCTCCCTCTTCCTGTGCCTCATGCTTTGACCATGATGTGCTGCTTTCACCACAGATCCATAGCAATGGTGCCAACTAATGAACTGAAACCTCCAAAATGATAGCCACGAGCAATCTTTTCTCTTTATAAATTCATCACCTCAGGTGTTTGGGACAGTAACGCATCTTATATTGGAAAAATGACTTTTGGTCATTTCCTATTATATCACAACAAACAACATGAATATTGCCTGTTATAATAAAAAGTCTTTCATCTCAGAGTGATTGTGGTGAAAATGAGCCTGTAATTTTTCCCCTCGTGATTTTTTAAAAAACTACATTAGGAAGCTTAAATCAAGTCAAGCAGTGAATAACCATCAGGTAGGAACCTTCCGCATAATACGGGAGCCAATAACCATCTCATCAGGGAAAATAGTGATTGTGTCCGCCTGTGTTCTGTTCTCAGCCTACAGAGCGGTGGTTCCCTAGGCAGGTGCCAAGGATTGAGATTCAGTAAGAGGTCTGTGCTTGAAGGATGCTGGAGCTAGATAAGTTGGGAGGCAGCACTAACCCTGCCCGCTGAGCTGTGTCCACACATGCACACTGTGTTGGTGCTATGCTCAGTGCCTTGACCTGGAAAGGGGCCTCAGAGTTGTGCAGGCCCCTCACCAATCAAACATGCTGCCAGTTACTCAAGATGCTGAGAAGCACTGCTAGAACAAAGCCTCTTAATTCTGTACTCCTCCCCTCTCCCCTTCAACCACGGACCATCAGGCTCTGCAGAATGCAGTTTGCAAAATCTGCTCTTTGTAGAACTAGGGCCTTAGTTTCCTCTGTATAAAATGAGGGAAGAAACCACCTTATTTTTTGACCTTTCTGGGAAAAAATACTACTTAAAAAGCATACCCTCCTATTTTTATATATATAATTTTTTTTTCCTGTGGCAGACCCAGGACATCAGAAGTAAAGCTAGCCTGGACACGGCTTTCCACACACAGTGCCACCAGAGCGGCAGCTGTGCCCCCTGCTGGACGTGATGCCTCTTCAGTCAAAATAGCAGAGCCCCGTACCCTGTCTCAGTGCCCCCGGACCAGTCTCGCCCTCACACTCCTACAGGTCTTCCATGGCTGTGAATGAGGACCTTGTTTGCCTTTAGGAATTTTTACACTAGCAAGAAGAGAACAGTGTGCTTCCCTCCACCAAATATGACCCAAGCACAGCTCCTTCAGCGCAGCTCTGGAAGGGAGACGTGGTACACAGCTGCAGCACGGAGATGCCGTAGAGCGGGGAGCTAAGCACACAGCAGCTCCATCCTTCCCTCCTGAGATCAACCTCAGACAAAGAGCAGTTTCACTTGCAGGTCCCCAGCAGACTCTGAGCTCTCACTGCTGCTCTGCCCGGAGTGGGGGAAAAAACCCATGTTGTGTATCCTCCTGCACCAAGGACAAAGATGCAGGGAGCTACCTGGAGGACCTTCCTCCCTGGGATCCTGTGCAGGGTCTGGACAGCTGCCTTCCAGCTGCGCCTGCCCAGCCGGGAGAAGCAGCCAGATGGCCTGGCCCTGCCTGTGCACTCTGGACCTGGATTCTGAGAGGCTCAGCTCGGTAAGGTCCTGGCCCTAAGAATCATTTAGTACCAGGCCATTCTTAGCCTACTAAGGCCCTGCCTGGCCACCCTCAGTTCAGGGAAATGACGTGATGGTGGACCTCCCTGAGGTCAGCAACTGGAGGCCACTCAAGCCCACCAAGTGGTGACTAACGGGGACCCCACACACTGCATCCCAGCTGACAGCTGAGTCCCACGATTCCTGCAGTGTGGGTCACCGAGACAGTGCTGGTTATGACTGAAGACGCTTCACTGACCCACAGATCCAGAAAGTCCAATACAGGAATGCAAGAATCATGAAAAGACAGGGCAAGTTGATAATGCTAAAGGAACAAGAGCATCCAGCAACAGATCCTGAGAAAAGGAAGTTGATGAACTGCACAAAGCAGAATTCAAATGATCTTATGGAAATGAGATACAAAGCAATATAGACAGACGATTCAGTGCACTCTGGGAAGCTGAGGCAGGAAGATCGTATGTTTATGCGCAGGTACACAACTCAATGAGACCCTATCTCAGGGCCTAGTGTGTAGAACATATAAAGAACTCAAAACAATTAAATCCCCCCAATGAAAAGCCAATCAAAAGTGGGCATGTGAAATGAACAGACACTGCTTAGAAGTACACATCACTAACAAATACATGAAAAAATGTTCAGAATTGTTGGCCACCTGAGAGATGCAACTGAGAACAACAGTGAGATTCCATCTTATTCCAGAAAGAGTGACTGTCATCACTGAATGAAGTAATAACAAATGTGAGGCTTCAAGGAAAAAGAACACTTCATCACTGAGTGCGTAAGCTAAGACATTCAGTATGGAGCTTCCTCAAAAAAAAAAAAAAAA